GGCCTCAGCCTCTCCTTTGGCATCTTTGGCATCTGGTCGAATGCCCCAACCCTTCTCCTCAGGTTACTGCAAAGCAAAGGATGTATGTGTGTACTCATAGCCGCCCTATCTGTGAACAACAAAATAAAGCACCGACTGGTCCTGCTCCTTTCTCACTATTGTTCCTGTGTTTGAGCCCAATTTTGAAGTCACTCTGTTAATCCCATCTCATTGGGGGAGGGGGGGTGTCCTTCTCTTTCTACTCGTTCATAATGAGAAGCTGTGGCTCTAGTAGTATAATTTTTCCTTAAGTCTTGGGGCTGTTCAGATCTATGGTTCAAGCTGAAACCAGTGGAAAGACAGGATTGCAGCTGGTAGGACTTTCTGTGCAGGAGACCCGGGTTCAAGGCCGAGCCACCGCACTTCCTAGGCAGGCGTCCTTGTTGCTCTGGTGCAGATGAGGCCCAAGTGCAAGGTCCTCTTCCAGGGATGGGTTCTCTCCAGACCCACATCTAAAGTGCGGGAGGTGAGGCCTCATCACGGTGACTTCTAAGGAGCATTCTGGCTGGACTCAGACCCAGGTAGATCTGCTCGGCCTTCTGGCACTGGTACTTGTCATATTCTTCCCTCCCACCACAATCCATTCGTCTCCAGTCTTCTTGTTCACCAGCTTTTACATGTATGAAGGGGCAACAACACCCACCCAGATTTGTTTTTCCAAAGCTATGTATTTAATTTTTTTTTTTTTTAACAAAACCACCCTATCACCTTCCATTACATTTAATACATTTGTCAAATCTGCGATTCCATTCTTGGAAACATTTTTCAAACTCATCTGTTTGGATGGCTGACAGTACCTCCTTTGTTTGTTTTCTTCACCTCTTCTATGTCGTCAAATCGCTGTCCTTTCATGTCCCTCTTCATTCGCAGAAACAAAAAAATCACAAGGAGTGAGGTCAGGTGCATGGGGCAAGAGAGGCATGCTGTTTTTTGCCCAAACTGGCACTGAGATGGCTGTATGAGCAGGTGCATTGTTGTGGTGGCTCATGGTGGCAAAATCAGTCCCCCATCTGCCACAAATCAGGCCTTTTCTTTGTCTCACATGATTACTCAATCTTTTCAAAACCTATAAATAGAAAGCTTGATTACTAGTCTTACCTGGTAGAACAAACTCCAATGCACCAAGAGTTCAAATTTTCGTCCCTTCAAGAAGTTGACAACGACGTCCAGAATGAGGTTTGTCACCAATTGACATTTCACCTTTTTTGAAACGAGAAAACCACTCATACACTTGAGTTTTTCCCATAGTGCTGTCTTTGCAAGCTGTGTTCATCGCAGCAGTTTCTGTGGCATTTTTCCTGTGTAGGAAACAAAATTTCACAGCTGCACGATATTCTCTCTAATTGGCCATCACAAAAAACTTGGTATAATCAAAACTGTTTTTATGCAAATATTTGCTGTGACCACAGAGAACCTTCCCAGGCGACGCCATTGGGTGCACTAATTCAGAGCGAGTTGCTGGATGCTTGCCTAGTGGGAAAAATGCCTACTACAAGAGCTCCACTGTGTGTCTATAAGGTAACCGAAAATACTGTATATACTCAAGTATAAGCTGACTTGAATATCAGCCGAGGCACCTAATTTTACCACAAAAACTGCATTTAAAATGTGCTGGAAAACTCGGCTTGTACACGAGTATATAAGGTACCATGACCTGGGTCAGGTGCCCCTTAGTCCTCACAGTGACATCTTTACTTTTCAACACTTTTTAAAGAGAGCTTTTGCAGAGCTTTGCCCAGTTGTCATCTGATGTGACTGCTGCTTCCATGGACATCGGCTGAGGGTCCAAGTCCAAGGAAATCGCCGGCACGTTAATCTTTGATCATGCTGCTATTTATTGCCCAATTGTGGGGACTTTTTATTTTCTGTATGCCGAAGTTTAATCCACCCCCGAGACTGTAATCTCTGATCTTAATCAATGAGGCCTTCAAATCCTCTTCACTTTCAATTATGCAAGGTTGTGTCATCTGCATATGGAAGGTATTCATGAGTCTTCCTCCAGGCCAGATGGCCAAGTTCTTAATAGTCCACCTTCTCCCTTTGTGTACTCTGCATGCACATTGAATAAGTATGCGAAAGGATACAGCCCTGACACACTTACCCTGATTTAAAACCACGCAGAGTAACCTTTTTCAAATGACTGCCACTTGGCCTACGTACATGTTCTTTATGAGCCCAAGTGTTCTTGAATTCCCTTTCTTTGCAGTGTTGTCCATGATGACGGATTTCTCTATAGAACCCTCTGTAGCTATAGTAAGCTAAACATGAGTTCGTCCTGGCGTCTCTAACTCCAGTCCTTTGCCATATGGATCATGCTTTCCTGTTGAGTTAGTTAATTGTGCCAGCCTGGCCGATAATCACATGTGGGGCTAATTGAAAGGTGGAGGGATAAATGGGTGGTGAGCCTCACCTTTCAAGTTCTCGGGTCTCTTGTTTTGTGATGGTTGCATCGGGTGCAGCTGCCTTAGCAGTTCCCTGCCTCAGCTTGCAAGATTGACTTCCTACAAGACATCCCCAAGGAGAAGCTACATGGACCTATCCCGATGCAGCCCTGGGTGCTGGAGCAGCCGTGTGGAGACCCCTGCTAGTGCTGAGATGCTTGTTTGTTCACTGACTCAGCTTTCCTCCTGCAGTCGGCATCATTGCCTCTGTTTTGTGAGGTGGAAGACATTGTGGACTGGTGTTGGGTTAATGGGTTAATGTTGGACTTGTGGGCTTGGGCAGCATTGGGTTGGGATGTTTTCGTGATACACCTTTTCTTTACATAAAACTCTCTCATATATGAGTTGCTGTGGATTTGTTTCTCCAAAGTACCTAGACTAAAACACCTGTCTTCCTGGTGTCTGTAAACTCCTGCTCCGACAGCGAGAATCCTGGCTCTTCGCATCTGCTGTGCGTTTTCTGAATTATTCCGTTCCAGTGTGCATATTCATCAGGGCCAGAGTTGTTCATTTGCATCTTCATGGGAGTGCAGTCTCTTTGGCCTGACTTCTTACAGCTGTCACTCATTTCCATAGTTATTTAGGTTCGCATCATCCCCTGCCCCTTCGATGCGTTTCTTCCCCATGTATTGGCAACACAGTGAGCTCATCTTACCATAGTCTACATTGTCTTGGGATCCCTCCCACTTCCTGAGTGGGTTTTAGACCATTGTAAATGTTAAGGTTCTTCCTTGGTGTTGTCTGTGCGTTTCAACACACATGCATGTCATCCCTTCACAACCACAGTATCCTATGGCAGGGTCTCACCACCCAAAAAACCCATTTATCACCACCCTCCATCAGCCACGGGTCTTTTAATCATTACTATAGTTTTGCCTTTTCCAGAATGGAAAAGCATCGTACAGTAGGGTGAGCTGTCTTAGCCTTCAATTCTGCAGAGGATATATATATGGATCTATATATATTTATATATATATATGGATATATAGATAGAGAGGAGAGATTTACCTCGTGAATAGGCTCTCACAATTATGGGGTCAGGCAAGTTCCAAATCTGTCGGTCTGGTGGCAGCCTGGAGACCTCTGCTGGCTAACGGAGCTAAAAGCTGCAGGTCTGGTGGCAGGCGAAGGCATCGCTGACTCATGTCCAAAGAATAGAGGTCCAAGGATGAGAAGCTTGCAAGATGGAGAAGGGAGCGTGCTTAATAATGGAAGCAGGCCCCACCATCACAGAAAGCCCCCCTTTAATTGATTGGGTGCTCATATCTGTTCATGAAGTGGAAGGTAATTACATAGTGTCAGCCAGACCAGCCAAGTTGATCTATAACATTGCCCATCGCAGTTGTCTTTTCAGACAGACTTCTTTCAGCAAAAATCCAGGGCTTCAAAAAGTTAATGGAATGATTTTAACACTTCTGCATTTTCTTCCTTGCAAAATGTTTGAAGCCTCATATGCATTTAAGATTATGTCCTTTGCGGCTTGGTAGATCCTTTATTAAAAAGTTGTGGTAGAGTGTATGTTGTACCAATTTTGCCATTTCAACCCGTTTTGTGTGCAATTCAGTGATGTTAATTTATGTTCACCAATGTATTTTTTTGTTGAGTAATATCCACTGAATAATTGTACCACAGTGTGTTTACCCGTTCACCTATCGGAGAACATCTTGGTTGTTTTCTGGTGTTAGGCATTTCTAAAGCCAGCTGTTCTTGATGTTTTGCATTTTTGACAGTAGTGGAAAAATTTCATGACCTGACATTTTGCACATCAATGATAATACATCTGGCAGTAAGGCACAGTGGTGCAAGGTGAGAGCCACACTGGCCCCACTGGTTCTGATTTTGTGTCAACATGGATGGGCCATGCCTCTGAGGTCTGGCAATCGTGTGCCGATGCCAGTGGGCAGCGTAATGAAGTAGCCATCCTCCATTTTGTCATCTGGTGTGATCATCCTCTGTGTTTGCCGTATGCCGATTTTCACTTAACCTGTTCTTTGAAACTAGCCTGGTCGATAAGTGGTGGGTAAAGCTCCTATAAATATGGGTGTGTGTGTGTTTGTGTTTGTGTGTGTACACATGAGTTTTCTAATCTGTCACTTCGTCCTCCCCTAATTTATGAAATCTGCTCTGAGTGCTTCTACGTGCCAGGCCCGGTTCTAATGCTGGAGAAACGGGCACAAAGCAGCTAGAGCCCTTTGTCTCCTGGGAAGAGTGGGGGAACCAGAGCTGACTGCAGGCACTGCTTTTCCCCCTGGGCAGGGGTCCCTGCGAGGTGGCTGCTGGGCCTGGAGATTCCCTGTGCTCAGAGGTGCACTTTGTCCTCTTTTCTCTCCAAGGTCGCCTGGTGGGTGCTCTGGACGCGGTGCTGGATTCCAACGCACGGGTGGCTCCGTTTCGAATCCTGCTTCAAGTTCCTGGCTCCCAGGTGTATTCTCCCATAGCATGTGGTGAGTTACTGAATGGATCAGACGTTTTCTGGGCCATAGCCACTGGTGAGTTTTGTTCTAGTCGAATATTCCAAACCTTACAGTCTAAGCATGCTGAGTATCTGCATGTCCGTGAAGCTGAAGGTAACCACTTTTAGAACCTTATATGCTTCTTATCTTTTTCTAACCTTCAAGCACACATGGATGCTGTCGGCTTGGGCACTGAACGTAGATTGGGCATGCCAGGCCGCTGCGTGGACTGTTGTCCCTGGGGCCCGCACACCGTGGAGTATGGATCAAGGCATTTGCTTCTCGTCTCTGACATAACATGCTGCAGTGGGGTGCAGGAGGAACAGGGGGAGCTTGTGTGCTGTGCCTGATGTCAGATGGTCTTTAACTCCTTGTTCCATGTTCGGTTGAGTCATTGGGTTTTCCAGGAGTCCAAGGGAACTTACAGCAGCTCTAACGGCACAGTGATCGAATGCTGCTGCTGCTAGTCCAATGGTGGGTAGTTCTAACCGGCCAGCTGCTCCCCAGGAAAAACTGTGGTCTGCTTCCATAACGGTTGCAACCCAAAAACCCCTAAGGGACAGTACTGCTGTGTCCCACAGGGTCACTGGGAATTGACAAGCCGACTCAGTAGCAAACAAAAACAAGGGAACTTAGAAATGACCCAGTCTCTCCACCTATGCAGCTCAGGTTCCTGCACCGGAGCACCTGACCCACTTCCTAACCTCCCAAGCACCGTGAGGGTCAAGAATCCCTTGCAAAATGGAAGTCCCTTCTAGTAAAACCAAGAACCAACACCTGCCATTTAAATTATACAAGTAATAAAGGTTCACCTTCAGGAGATAAAACACAGATAAGGGTGGGAAATGCTATGATTCTGATTCCAGTGTTCATCACTCTCCTGACTAAATCGCTCATTTCTTTCTCTATGTCTATATCCACGCTTTATTCACTTTTCCTCTTAATATTGTATTAGAGCCACACACGTTTTCAATCAACATTATTTCGTGTTCTCTGATGACATTGAATAAACTCTTTATAATGCAGACAAGTACAAAAAGGACAACACCAGAGCCTCCCATTCTCTAGAAAGACGGCTAGTATCTCGGCATGCTTGCTTCCAATCAGTTTTCTTTGCTTTGTTTTTAAATTAAGACACTATTTGGGTAAAATGATGGTATATGCACAATGTAAAGAAACCAAGTTATATGAAAAAATTCACTGCCATCAGTCAATGCCGACCCCCTAGTGACCCTGTAGGCAGGGTAGAACGACCCCTGTGGGTTACTAAGAGTATTACTCTTTACGAGAGTAGAATGCCTCATCTTTCTTCAGAGCACCTGATGGTTTCGAACTGCTGATCCTTATGGTTAGCAGCCCAATACATAACCCACTATGCCATCAGGGCTCCTATCAAGTGACCCAGGAAAGGAAAGGAGGAAATACTTATTTTCCCAAATCATTGTCTCCAGAGTCACCTCCGCTCCTCTCAGGTGAACATCATCCCAGACCAGTTGCTAAGGCATTTAGACAGACACACGGATAGTGAGGAAGATGGGTAGAGATGATTTTACTAAACATGCAACTTGTCTGCAAGGCTGTTTTATAATAATGGGGTTCCATTTACTCCGTTTCAATGGAAAGAAGCTAAAGGGAAACTGAAGATATGTTGAACTTCAGATACATATTTTCTTTAGCATAAGTGATTCTTTTCTAATGAGGACATTGAAGGTTAAAAGAAGAGAATTTGGAAAATATTACAAGTCTAGAATGTTGGCTTTTTAAGAACAATGTGTCCATTTTGATAGTATTCATTTGGCCCCATCCCCACCCTCCACCCCACAAATAAGTTCACCACCATGTTACTCTCCCCCACACCTCCTCATCTCTGATATTAAAAAAAAAAGAATTCAGTGTCATAATTTCCATTCCATTTTGTAGCTGTACATCATTGGGTGCAGTCCTGTTTTTAAGTAGATTTAATGCTTCTGCGGTACGGCTTTCCCATTCCAGAATCTTTTGTTTTGCTCCATCTCTTACTTGGCTGGGTTTCTTGGGTCTCATTTTCCCTTTACGTTTCCACGTGTGCAAATGTTGGTCCCTTGCTTTTGCACTTGAGTGACACCTTGGCTTGGGCTTATGGACTGAACTGTGTCCTCTTCAAGGTATATGTCATAAACCCTAACTGATGCCTGTGATCATAATCCCATTTGAGCATGGGCTGTCTATGTCTAATGAGGAACTATTAGTTTAGGGCACTGATTCCCAAAGTGGGAGATAACTGCTCCCCAGAGATCCCTGGAATGATCCATGGCGCTGCCAAAGCAATACCTACACTTTATTCTGGATTCTGGGTTACAGCATAAAAGGTTTTCATTATTAGGGGACGGGGGCTGAGTAATTTTTTTTTAAGTTGGGGGAGGTAGGTCAAATAAATTTGGGAACATATGGGATGTGGGATATGTCTTAATCTCTTTTAATATATAAAGGGTAAATTATGCAAGCAGACTGGGGCAGAGAGATGCCAAGCTGAGGGACAAAACACCTGAAGAACTTTCCTCAGAGTGGATGGGAGGGGTGGAGAGTCGTCCCGCCTGAAAAGAGCTGGTCCTTAAACTGGGATGAAATTTTTTTTGTTGTTAAAGCCATCTCTCAAGGTATTGTTGTGACAGCAGCACTAGGTAAGAAAGAGATGGCGGTCGAGCTTGGTGGCCATTGTCTCCAGGTCTCCCAGTGTGGAATGGCTCAGTTTAACTCCACCCACCCTCATCTCCACCTTGAGGGGGGTTGCTTTTTCCTCTGACATTGTGAAGTTGAGAGGCTTGATTAGACCCTGTTGCTGTGTTGAGCAAGCTGTGTTACCGTTTTTTCTGCGGCATGATGTGCTCTTTGAACCTGCAGGTGGACTTCTTTAATTCCAGAAATGTTCTCCTGTGTCTCTGATTGTGATATTTTACAGAGCAATTTGCCTGACTTTGGTTTGATTTTCCACTTCAGTGACACTTCCCTTGGGTCCTGGTGGTCGGCTTTTTCATTTCTGCTTTTCCTGCCTTTTCCCCCTTTCATTTCCACGGCGCTCACAGCCTCCAACTCGGGTGGTTCGGTTCTGCTCTGGGGTATTGCGTTTCGTGGATTCGATGCATGCTGTGCCCTGCTGGTGTGACCTCCGGTTCAATTCCCCCAATCTCCCTTTCCTTCTGTACTCTTTCATCATCTCATCTTTGAGCTCTGTTTTACTAAGTCCCTGTTCTAGGAACTATTTTGCTTTGGAGCAGGATGCACTCGTGAGAGGTTCTTTTTTCCCTCCTTGAGGGTTCTGCTTGTTCCTAGGGTGGCGTCATTCTCGTGAACACCTTGTTCTCCTGTGTTCACCCTCTTTGCTCTTGAGCTCCTGCTTGGTGGCTGGACATTTCTCCTTATGGTGTTCATATCCAGCACCAAAGCACCGCTATCCCGGACGCTCTCGACTTCTATTTGCATTAGCATAGTGAGTGGACTTTTTTTTTAACTTTGTCCCCAGCCCCGTCCCACTGAAAGCTAACAACGTTCAGTGTTGTTGTTGTTGTTGTTGTTGTTGCTGCTGAGACTATACAGAGCAGCAGAACACACACCCTTTTGAACAATAGGTTAACTCCGCTAGTTGTAAGCATGCTCTTTGAAGATCTTACTATCCACAGGGGATCGAGTTGGCAAGAGAAGCTCAAAAAGATGAAAGAGAAAACGTAGAGCAATTATGTGACAATTCAGAAAGGACAGTGAGCATGTTTGCACTGCTCGAGGAAGGGAAGCAACATCAAGGCATGGTTGTTTGGTGTTAAGAAGACTTCAGGGGCTGTTGTTTAAGGCTTAAAGTTCATCTCTGGGCAGGGGTGTCAAGGGTTCACCCAGCCTCCATAGCCACAGGGAGTCTAGAGCCCATGGGAGTGAGACTTTCGATTCTGCATTTTGCCTCTCCTGATCGATTCTTCTATAGAATCTTTGATCAAAGTATTCAAGAGGCAGACACCATCCAGTTCTTGTGGTCTTTTATCTCCACCTTACCCAAGAATAGTTTCTTTTTCTCCTGAACCCATAGTTTGACGTGCTGAGTATTTCTCATTCAGTCCAATTTCTGTTGCCTCGTGAAATGGCTGTAGGATAAGGGAGGGTGGGTTGGAGGGTGGGGGAGGCGCTTGAGACTTCCGGGAGCTTTTGAGGTCACTTCTGAGGATTTGTGTTTGCAAGTGGGGGCTGACTGGTCCAGAAAAGCCTCACCTGGAGGACTAGCATCAATTAGCCACCAGAGGCATGATTTAATCTATTACACAGGCCAGCTGATGGGAACCCTGAACCCGGAGGCTCAGAGGGCTTCCTGGTTGGTGAGAACATCTATTCTTGGAAGAGGAGGGTGTCCCCTGAGGCATGGAAGCTCTGTTGGGAACCCTCCCAGACCTTGCCTTAAGCCTCCCTTCCTCTACATCCTTTCTGGTTGTAATAACTCTGGAGTTGTAAGTATGGTATAAGTTGTAAGTAACTCTCTGTGAGTTCTTTTCGTAAACTCTCAAACCCAAAGGGGCAGCTGGCACCAAGTGTTCAGAAAATTAAAAGTGGTCCCCTGCGCTTACATCTGGTATCCTGAAGGAGTAGCGGGAAACCAGCCTAAAACTTGGGAGCAGCCAGTCAGAAAATTGGGGTGTTAAACATGGATTCTCCAACCTTGAGGCTGGTGTGTGCCTACTTGGCAGTCTGAGAAATGGTATCCCTTTAACTTGTGAGCACGAACAAGTGCTCACACTTGGGGGGATTGGATCCTTGCTGTTCCTTACAGCACACCTATCGATTCTATGTCATCCTCGAGCCTTCTTATCACCCAGTCAACAGCCACCAAATAGGACTGAGCACTGTTCTGGTTTAGGCTTTCCTCTGAACACCGGCGACACCTTGGTAATCAAGACTCCATGCAATCCCAGCCCTCAGGACCTTTCATTCTAGTCAATGAGACAAATCAGAAACCTGGAAACATCGCTGGTTTC